AAGGTCTGTGCATGGCCCTGGTGTTCAGAATATTAATGTGTGTTTTTTGAATGTTCGCCCATAGTGTGTTCAGAATGTGTGTTTTTAGAATGTTTTCCCATAGTGTGTTTAGAATGTTCATTTCAAGTGTGCGTTCAGAATGGGTGTTCAGATTGTTTATAGTGAGTTTTCAGAACATTTATTGACAGTGTGTTCAGAATGTTCATTCAGAATGTGATTATAGTGCTCATACAAGTGTAACATTGTGGAAGTGTGTGTGGGAAGGTCCATTATATTGTGGTGATGGTTGAGGGCTGAACATGCCTCCTCTGAACCCGAACCCCTGACCGTTCCCCCTTCAACACAACCTCCTGTCACTGTTCTCACTCATTCGAATGGCTTCTGCTGAAATAAAGCATTTAGACTTTTTTTTTTGTTGGTAGTTTTGGAGATGAAAATCACCTTTCCATCCCAGCATGCTTTCAGTGTGAGAGTGAATTGAGTGAAGTTTTTCATTACTTGGATTTCCTTTGGCGTTCTTCTGGCTTCGATTTAAAATTAAAAATATAATGCAATGTAGTTAATAATTTTAACAGAATTCACTGAGGCTCCATCATAATTTTCCTATCAGACTGTGTTCTCCTCAGGCTCTTTGATTTGTCTGATTTATTCTCTCTCTCTCTCTCTATCTCTTCCTCACCTCTTATGTTCTGATGTCTCAATATCTCAATATGAGCTCAGTCCACAATCAGTTGCGCTGTTTTGTCAGCTCCATGATTTTCTTGTCTGATTAACTAGGTAAATGTTACAAATCCATGCCCAATTTTTACCTTTTAAAATAATATGTAAGAAATAAGGAATTATATGTTGTTCAAAGAAAATTAAGCATATTTTTAGATTTTTGAGTATGGCGTTTTTGTGATAAAATTTAACATTTTAAATCGATTATATATTGATTTTTTATTTATTTATTTATTTTTTTAAAGTAACATTTGATAGTTTTTAGTAAATAAATTATAAATTTGCAGAGAATTTTATCAATATTCAAATGTATAATTATTTATTAAAAATTTGTATAATTTGATTACAAAACAAAAATTAAATACATTTTATAATGACAATTCACACATTAAATTAGTTTCATGGGCCAAAGAAAAACAAACAAACAAACAAACAAAAACCTCTATAATAAAATGCCCAAATGCATAATGGTTATGCGAATTTTGGGGTGGAAATGTGCTTAATTGTCTATCAATTTTTAATATAATTTTCTTTTGCAAAAATAAATTTTTCTGAATTTGTGACCTGGATATGTTTTTACTATTCTCATCTATTTTTCCTGTATCTACACAAATACATCAGAATTGCCTTCCATTGTTTTTACACGTTCATTTCTAGCACATTTCCATCAATCTGTTTTCCGTCAGAAAGAAAGAATGAAGGATGAATGTTTGGGTATTTTCTGGTAAAGTGTAGATGCTTGAATTGCTTGAGTTTGAAGTTACCACAAGAAATGATAACTACTCTGCAAAATTGGTCTTGTTCAGTTCATTCAACTCGCACAAATAAGATTTTTTTCTATTTTCAACTACACTGCATACAATGCTCGTATAAGCTACTGCTGTGTTGACCATCAGAACGCCTCTGTTTTCTGCAGGAATGATGTGGTCGGAGTGTAAGGAGCTCTGGACGGAGGGTCCGAGGGAATATATCATGCAGCTGTGGAATGTTCTGGATTTCGGCATGCTTTCCATCTTCATCGCTGCATTCACTGCCCGCTTTTTTGCCTTCCTACAGGCAATGAAAGCCCAGGAGTATGTGGATGAGAACATCCACGCTCCAGACCTCTCACTGGTCACGCTGCCGCCGGACATCAAATATTTCACATACGGTGAGAGCGAATCTGAGCACTGCTCTGTTTCAAAGAGAATCTGAGAGAACACACACACACACACACACACACACACACACACAAACAATTAACATTACGTTCTACATGAATACTGGTAGTTGTATGATATTATGAATGAAAACATGATTAAATGTAATTATTTTTTTACATGCAAGGATTTGCTGATGGGTGTGCACACCATAGTAATTTTTACCATTTTTATTACTTGAAACAAAATAAATGTAAAACAACTAAACCTAAATTTCCTGTATTTTCAGCGAGAGACAAGTGGCTTCCATCGGATCCTCAGCTGATCTCTGAGGGTCTGTACGCCATCGCTGTGGTCCTGAGCTTCTCTCGTATCGCCTACATCCTCCCGGCCAACGAGAGCTTCGGGCCGCTGCAGATCTCTCTGGGACGAACTGTGAAGGACATCTTCAAGTTCATGGTCCTCTTCATCATGGTCTTCCTCGCATTCATGATTGGCATGTTCATCCTTTACTCTTACTACCTGGGGGCAAAGGTTAACCCTGCCTTCACCACGTGAGTGACATGCACACACTGCAATGCATATTGAGGAAAATATAAAAAATATGTATAATTAGGGATGTGCATAACTATACATATTTTCAAATGCACTAGTTGAGTTAACCAGGTATATATGGATTAGTTAATAACTACACATTCTTGTGCTAAAGACAACTATTACAGATAAAGCAAAAAACAGGCCAGATAAATTAACTAGTGAGCCTCACAAACGGACTAGTCAGCTGTTGCAATGACTAGATGACAATTTTACATTAAAGAAATTATTTTTTCAAAAATTCATTGTAATATCTTGAAATGATTTTTATATTTGTTTAATAAATTTGTATTTTTTTAATTTTAAAGTTAAATTGTAATTTTTCATTTGCAATTAGTTTCACAAAATATATTTTAATATCTTAAAACTGTTATTATTTTTATTTTGTAATACTGTATTTTTAATTCGTTTTTAAATTTGAGTTATTTTATTTAACTAAAAAGAACTATATAAAATTAAGATTATAGACAGATTAATTCAAGTGAATTAATTTCATGTCTACCAGACCACATAGGGCACATACTTCCGCTAACAACAATAAAACAATCCATAAATACTAACTAGTAAACCTCACAAACTTTGCATTGACCATTCTGACCAACTTAACACATATTTGTAAATACTTCAAAGCAATTAGTTTTACAACAATTATTTTGATATCTTAAAATTATTTTTGTTTTTTAAATGATTTTTGCATTGATTTAGTTATATACTTTTGTTTAATTAGCAATTAATTCTACCAAAATATTTTTATTTGTATAAAATGATTTTTAAATTGTTTTACACTCTTTAAAATAACAAAATTATACACAATTTAAGTGATTAAGTTATTTTTTTAACAGTGAGTTTGCCTTGTTTTAGATGGACTTTTTTTGTTACTTATCTTACCACAATAAATGTAACTTTTGTGCAAGATGGTCATAAATATACCACATGTGGCTGCTCAACTCAAAATAAGGCTCTGTGGTCTGTCAGGCAGAGCATCTGTAGTGAAAGTGTCAGTCCTGTGAAATGAACTCTTGGTTTCCCAGCATCAAATGTGAGGCTGTCAAGTGCTGGAGCTCATTTCACACTAGAGTGCCTCCAGTGGGATGAGGTTTGTTTCACAGCAAGTCAGAGGTGATGAAACAAATCCTACAAGTCAGCTTGTGTGTGTGTGTGTGTGTGTGTGTGTGTGTGTGTGTGTGTGTGTGTGCGTGCAGCCTGGTCTCATTGTTTATACGTAGGTATTAATACGTAACATTTACAAGCACAAAGCGTACATTCTGTACGTTTTTATTGATGCTAAAACGTACAATTTAGACATTTCAGCGTTTAAAACATACAAATCGCTATGTATTTTTAGCTAAAACACGTAAAATATTTATCTTTTATATCATTAAGATATTCGTATCAATGCAAGCGATTTAGATTTTTAGACCCCTTAACCTACAACCAAACCTAAACCTACCAATTTAATAGCAAATATGCATTTTTATCATTTTATCAATAAGCGATTTAGATTTTTAGACCCCTTAACCTACCCCCAAACCTAAACTTACCCATTTTATAGCGAATATTAAAAGGATATAAAACGCAATTGACCGAAATATGCAGAAAAATAACCAATTTAGTAACAATATAGCATTAAAAATATTTTTATAGTCCCACTCTGACCTCTAAACCTAAACATAACTATTTCTGTTACAGTATAAGAAAAACATGACAGACAGATAAATGCAATTACAATAATTTATTTATTGCAAAAATGTCAAAAGCATGTACCAAAAGTAATCCAAATGATGATGCGTTGCAGCCACAGTCCTCTCTGGCGGAATACAGTAGGTTTGTGTGAGATGCAGAGCAGAATTTAAGTTGTTAATTGCTGAAAATATTATCCAGATTATTTTCCCGATCCACTCCGAGAACTCGTGAAGGTGCACGCGCATCAATCAAACACACCTCACCAGAAACATGACATTTCGCAATCTGTGATGAATGCAGGCGAGAGCCAATGAGCGTTCAATTATCCTGCCGTAAAACCTGTCGTTTGAAGCGGCAACATTTGAATTTGTAATGAGCACGTCAGTCAGCGCAAGCTTTGCAGTTTACGGTCACTGGACTTGCTGCTTGGGATGTAGATGAGGATCACCGAATAAAGGCTTGGATTTTGGTCTGTTCCTCGCAATCGTATGGATTTGGAAGATTTGGATTACAGGGCACTAATAAAATTGTTTCATTTCGTAATAATGTTGCAGTAAGGGTAAAATCTTTGCATGGCAGGGGCAGCTGCCACTCGACCTGTCACTGCT